CTAGGCTGGAAGCTTTTAAGCAAAAAAAATCCCTTGCTAGAATTATCGCTAGCCATGACTAAGCCTCCTCCCAAACTTATGTTTAGAGTAGAAAACCATTGTGCAAAGAGAGGCGGAGTGAACTTTCTACCTACGAAAGTGGCCACCACCATATGGTCATCAAGGTGTCGTGTTTCAGCAACGACAACTTCCTATAGTACATATACTCGTTTTTTTTGTCTATTTTAACAAAAACCCAGCATAATTTTACATAAATCCCTCAGGAAGACATTCTGCGGTTGTCGCTTTGGTAGAGTTCACTGACACCACTTTGCACTAATTACGAAGAGAGGCCACTAGATCCTTGCTCAATGTTGACCATGGGGGAGTTGTACCTAGGAGGCACAGAGTCATTCAAGTTGTTAGTACGAACAGCATTAATGGAAGAGAGAGCCATTTGCAAAAACCCTAATTACTAACCCTAAAAACCTGTCTAGAAAAAGTGCCCACAGACGTTAAATCTATGCAGTGGAAGAGGGGACTATACTCAAAAATTTCCTAGCACAGTTTGGAACAAGGAGGTGAGCTGCAGAATGCAAGTTAGAAGCAAAGCAAAACACTGCGAGCGAACAATTCCAGTGCTGAAATCAGTGTTAGTGCATCTCCAAAGCAAAACCCTAACCCCTGTAGTTTGCGGAGCGCCATCGTCGTGACCCATCCAACAAAAAACACGTGTTACATTTTATAAAACTATTTGGCGAAGTAAGTTCATGCAAGGTCACGACAGAAAACCGTGAAAGAACTTGAAGCTCAATGAGATAGATCTCAGAAAAAAGAAGTTTCTATAGAAACAACAACCCCTCACACGAATGTATTTGTACGCAGCCCAGAGAATCTCATATTATTCTCTCATCGGGGACTTCCACGTTAAATTCGAAGCCACATATAAGAACTATGCCTTTCCTGGGGGTTTTCCTCTGGTAATCTGCTGCATAATCTCTACGTGGATATTTTGTGCAGGAAATTGCGAAAATTCATGAGGCTTTAGATGGAGGAATCATCCACCAACTCCATCCTGGTGGCCCCGTCCAACGGTGCTGAAATCTATTTGAGTGACATTCCAAAGCAGCTACACAGTAACTGTCACTTTAAATGCGCCTGGGATGCGATCGAGAGGCTGCGTGGCTTTTGCAGCCCTACGATCAGTGGACTGCGGTAGAAGCTGTTTGAGTGGAACAGCTCGAGAATAGTGGGCGTTCACTCCGAGGAAGTTGACCTTTTGGCTAATCGATAAAAATAAAAGGATAAATTTATCGTATGTTTGAACAGCCACAAAGTCAGATTCCCTTTCTGCCCACATGGACAAGATCCACACAATTCTTCCGATTTTAGCCCCTGTCAATTTCGAGAATGACATGTGTCCGCATTGCTTTTCTCGTTTCATAATTGCGATATTTACAAATCACGATAGAGGACTCGGGCACAAAAGAGATTTTCAGCCATCGCTGACAAATCCATGACACACGTTGCAGTTCAGTCTCTCATACCCCAACTGTGCCGTCGACTATTGTAAATTCCGTTTTCCAAAGTCGAACTTCAGTGATTATTTTTTATATACTTTACGATACACAGCATTAGCTGAGAATATGCGTCAAACTTGGTCGACTTGCAATCTAAGTTACAAGTGTAAAGAATTTCTTTTGGATTCAAGTCGCAAGCGTTAACCTGCGTAAAGTGCATGAAACGCTCCACCCAATTGCGAAGGAATGGCTTGCATGAGTCCTGTGTAACCCCCGGCTCGCGTCCCGGGAAGATCCACAAGCCAGCGGGCTCTTAGCTTGGGGGATGGGACATTCCACAACCAGTGAATCAGGTTTAGTGATAGGACCTCAGCACCTTTGAGCCTATGCATGCACAACCACCACCAGGATTACTCGTCGCTAAGCGAATTGTTACTAATAATACCCTCCGCATAGACAGCTTCAGATTGGATGCCTTGCCCTCGCCGAAGACCCTCGAAAACATGAAAAATGAGCAGGCTCAAAAAGACATGAAACTAGGTGATAGAAAGCACACCGAACATGCGACCATCATATAGCATGCTCCGCTATGTTGACATCAGGGAGACAGCATGGCGGTGACGTCGCCTCATATCATCAGCTTCCCCCCAGAAGCTCATCGCTCCCACATGAGCAACATTCTATAATTGCAGTAAAGCGTGCTAACAGTGCCTCAGTCGGGCAGGCTAACTTCCAGGAGTTGCCACTTTTAACTATTAGTATTCCAGGGCGTTATGTTGCAATCGACGAGGAATTCTTTTTCTTTTTCTTTTTTTCTTTTTCTTTTTTTCTTTTTCTTTTTTATCAACCGGATAAGTTGACCTTGTCACTATTATCTGTATAAGTACAGTACTTGGATGCCTCTACTATAGCTCCCAGCTGGATGAAAAATTAGAATGTCGCGAATCTTTTGGAATTACTGCGGTCAACTTTCAGCTTTCGACATCGGAACCTGCGGCAAATGAAAGTGCTCGATATTGGAACTTAACAATCATGAATATTTGCAAGGAGTAACCATCCATTATTTTTAAGCTTCCCACACACATGATCCGTCTGAGTTGGTAATCCCTATCCACTTTCCGTCTGTTCTTCCCTTGTTTCAGGCAAGACTTGGAGCTTTCCTGCAGCGAGGAATCAATAACTTGCTAATTGAAGCTCCACATCGAACCATATTGTCGTGAGTGTCCTTTGGAATGTTGCTAAATAAACTTCTCTGCAGGACTTCTGGGTGCCACCCCTGGTGCCCAATATCCAATCGCTGGTTGAATCAGCAATAGAAGCTTCGCGCTTGGTGATGAAACCAAAGGGAAGGCATATGAAAACGGGGTTCACGAGGTCATTCAAAGTGAGCACTTTCAAGCTGGTTGGTATCTCACCGTCAAGCCATTCACTCCCAGCCATATTCATGTGAGGATTTCGGAGCTTGGAAATCTAGATCTAAAAGCTAACAGCCATCGGAAGATCCCCCGAACTAGGGATCGTCAGAAGCTGAGTTTGGATCAGTAATCTGATCGAGCTTTACTTTATCATAACTGGAAGACTGTCTAAAGTACAACGCTACGAATGATACTGATTCATCCACAAGCAAACATTCTACGGTTCTGTCCTGTAGGATGGGATCATAGCTCCCGCATCTATTTGATTTGTATTGGGTGAATGACCTACACGCAAGGTCAACCTTGCATTTCCCAAAAGCTCTATCAGATCTGGGATTCACCCAATCGCGGTTGCCGCAGTTAAACTCGGTGTCGTGACGGTGCAGCCAAAAATAGAGAAACATGTGAAACAACTTGAAGCTGCTCGAACTGCAATCAGAGTTGATATCCGACAAGTTCCATCAGTTTTTCCTCAATTGTGGGCATCAATCAAAGGAGATGTCATCTAATGAGTCTTTTGGAAAAATAAACTAATATCAAGAAGAAAATAGAAATCGAATGAATAATTGATGTCTTTTGTTTTGTTTTAAGATTCGTATTAGTGGTTACTAATTTTTAGGTTAGGACAATATTGATGTAGTTTTGAGTGCTTCTATCAATATTCCTTTAAATATACACTCCATTTATCTTCTTCTTTTTGGACAAATTGTGCAATCTAATGAATTTTGTAGTAATTTTATGTCAATTGTCTCTTATTATTATATAAGGTTTTTCATATGCATTTTTTTCCCTCTAAAAGTATCTACAATTGAATATATTTTGTAGAACATTAATGCATTTTTCCATGAATTTTGGTTACTTATAATTGTGAGCTTTAATAAATATATATATATATATATATATATATATACACATATAAAATTAAAAAAATCTTCCAATTTATAAATTTTTAATTTTAAAACTTTTTTAAAGTAAAAAAGTCTTAATTAATCAAGAAGCAGTTAAAGTTTTTTTTGGATCTGAAAGCCCCCTTCACAATGAAACTGGGACTACCACACTAGATTATTATTTTTATTATTATTCTTTATGAAATATTTTTCAGAAAATCCCTCGAATCCCTGCATAAATATTAATCAATTGACACGTTCAACATGTGTTACTGTATGTCCAATTAAATATATTTTTAACAGAATCATCAGTCTGCCCAAAAAAACATGTCAATATTCATAGCAAGTCAAAATTGGAAATTAACAAAACTGTCATAAGAATATGTAAGATATAAACAGAACTCCAATTAAAATGTGCATACATGTTTTACACATTGAGTCTCAAGTACATTTCTTAATTGAAATTTTTAGCAAACAGGCATTAAGATTAGACACTCGAAGTGCTTATCATTCATGGTTCATGAAAAAATGAACATTGTAATTATTATTATGTTCCAGAGTAATGCACATGCATCATGTCAGACAATGCATCAACCAGAAACAGCAAACCATCACATCCAAAATAATTCATGTCAATGTCCATTGTTTTACACATCAACATCAACAAAGCCAATTGAGAACAACAAGAAACTCTGTGGCATCCCCCATAACACAAAAACTCTTTGTACCCAACACCACCATATGCATCAAGACCCCACACATTAAATCTCATTCACATGTATACACACAAAATGAATAATTTACAAGGGTGAGTTTGCGTGCCACAAGGAAGAGATAAACCAACTTACTACTGGGGTTTGGAGGCGTGGGCGAAACGAGTCCTATTGCCCACACTAATTTCCAGCTCCCAGTACATAGTAGCGTTGCGGGCGTGGCGCTACCCGTAGCCCCAGTCGCGACACGCCCGCTCGCGGGCAGCCGCGGCCGTGACGCAAGCGTCGTGGCGTCGAGGCCCGCAAGGCCTGCGACCGCGATGCAGGCGTAGAGGAAGATGCAGTGCGGGGGAGTGAGTGGTCGGTAGCATAGACCGCGATGTGGGCGTGCATGCATGCGGCGCCATCGCTCGAGCATTCCCCAGCGTCTGTTACTTCATACGCATGGGGGCCGTCATGGCACTCCACCATTAACCCCCCCCCCCCCCACCCTGATCCTTTCACGCGCGCTGTCTGCCCTCCACCCGTCTCTCTCGCCGTCGTGAAAGACACTCGCTACTCTGCCGGTGTGCCGCACCAGTGGCTTCCGTGTGTTTCTGCTCAGGTCTTCGGTCGGAGGAGGGGCAATTTACTGCGCCGCAGGGGGTGGCATAGATAAATTTTCTTGTGTGGGTCTGCATCGTAGAGCGAAAAGTCTCAGGCAGCTGCGCGTTGGTTCCCGCCCTCCCCCGCCGTCGTGTATTTGTTGCTTGAGATGGAAGGCCGCGGGTAGCTCAGGGTGCTTCGTTGTTTCGTCTCGGTTTTTGCTGCCTTGGTTGTTGGTATTTCACGCTCGAGTTCGTTGCGTTATCTTGCCTGCAGTGAAGAGCTCTGCTTTCGTGCACTTTTGCGGGAATGTCCTGACGCGGCTTCGAGGAGACGGATTGTTATTTGCGAAGAGAAGTGTTTGGGTTGCTGGGATTTTTTCGATAATTGGCCTATTTGGCACGAAGGGTGTGGGTTTTGAGAATTGAGAATGCTATTGTTGACTTCCATTTTGAACGGTTCTGGGAGTTTGGACGTCGGAATTAACAGTCGAGGCGCCGGGCATATATCCAACGTTGCGGGAGAGTTCATTTAGTGTGTTCCTGGCAGACAGTATTCGCAGAGCTTTCAGGTGCGTTGATGACCTTCGACAAGGGTCTTTCCTAATTTTTCAAAGATATGTCTGCTGGAGTCTAGTTTTTGTCCTGAGTAGTGCCTTTTACGTTGAAATTGAACTGTTGAAGATTAGAGTGGCTTTGCTTCGAGAATATTTCTGTGGACGGTGCTCAAATTTCGCGAACCATTACATTATTGATCACCTTTTGATAGTGTTGTTAATTGACGCAGTTTGTTGTTGAAAGATGCTATGTCGTTGACTCAGAGTGTCTACAAATATTGGAGAGGGTCCCTGTGCCTGAGAGACTAGTGTGCATCGGAAGATTTTTAGATGATCATGTTCCACCCGCTCCTACTTGTTAGTGTGTGGGAAATCCTTTTTCTTGTTTCTTGCAAAGATGGGTTGACATTGAAGTTGGTTCTTCAAATAGGATATACGCGTCAGACGCTTTTACTTGAAGAAACTATTTCCTATTGTTTAAACTTAGCAGTTAAATTCTCGAAAAGACAACCTCTTCTGTTTAAGAGAAGGCTTTTAGAACATTAAACACTGCTTTCCAAATCTGCGATCGTATATGCAGCTGACAGGCGCCTTGTGACGCTCCATCGCATTCTGTTTGTTTTTCATTTCATCCAGTATCAAGTGGCGCTTGGCTCCAGCGGTATTTGACGTAATGGGGCAGGGTCTTGAGCTGACAGTCCGAACTGTTCCAATCCAGATCATCGGTTTGTACAAGAGTTCTGAAGTTTTCCTTCGGTTTTGTTACAGATCCATTAATGATCACTTAACTGGACATATTTCAAGTCATCCTTGTCCGTATTCCTTCATGAAGGCCCAGCATCAACAGCACGTTTTCATCCGCAACGTTGGGTTCCACGAACGTTGGCTATCACGTGAGCTATGCAAGCAATAGTTTTGGTCATCCCCACCCCCCTCTTTTACTGTAGTATTGTCTCTACTCAACACTGTGCGAATTTCTAGTGGCCCGGGGCCTTAGAGCTCAGCACAGCAACACCATGCCGAGCAGAGGAGTTTCTGGTAAGATGCAGAAGGCTCTTCATAAGCTGCAGAAGAGCATTTCAAGCTCGAACCTGAATCACCAAGCCATGCACCATCACAGCGATGCGAAATCCCCTTCGAGGACGGGAGGCACCCTCAGAAATGGGTGCGCGTTCGGAAGATCTGGTCGGTTTGCAGTTAGTGATCTCAACGATTCTGATTCTGATAGCAACGACTCTGCCCCTATAGATGTGCCTGAAGGAAACCTAGTGGTATACGTGGGTGAGGAGCGGTGCCGATTTGTTGTTCAAGCCAAGCATTTGAGCCACCCTGTATTCAAGGCCTTGCTCAACAAGTCAGCAGAGGAGTTCGGATACGAGCACAAGGGAGGGTTAGAGATTGCATGTGAAGTGGATTTCTTTAAGCACATGTTGTGTCTCATCGAGACCAACGATTCTTCATTCTCTTCCATAGAGATCGACGAGCTTGTGGGCATCTACGCCTACCCTCAGTGCGTAGATGCCTAGTATTCCTCTCTCTTCATTTATTGCGGCTTTCAAAGTTAAGTGGTAAGCTTTGGAAAGCAATGGCAGGAATCCTCAAAGATGTTCATCAATGATAATGACGATATTGGACAGTGTTTAACACAGACCCTCTTTAGGACTAGTAAACTAAATCTACTTGATTTCGGGAATGCTTTGCATATGGCCTGATGGTCTCAATAGAGGGAGGAGGTTCCCTTTTTACTCTCTTTTCTGTACCTAAGAGCATGTTACACATACATGCATGGCTTAATAGCGTCAGTAGCACATCCTACCACACGGTGGAACTAACTCAGCAAGAATTCTCCACTTCCTCGTTTCTTTGTTCAACGCTTGTTGATTGTCCAGAAGGGCTGGCATGAGCACCGCAACTTTAAACTGGTTTTTTTCTTTACTTTCCCGAGTGTTTTTTTCTACAATAGAAAGCACTAACTCAATGTCTCAACATCTGGATCACCACTTCAGAGTATATACCGAGGTGGACGAGGTATTAAGGAACGCATCAGTACCACAATTGTAGACATTGATATTCTAAGACAAAGTAGACAAAGGGGGTCTATCTTTTAAGAAGACACTCAAGTGGGATCAGTATCTTGCGCCTTATCTGCATTCTACAACAAAACCAATATGGCTTTGTCTGCACACGTCATCAACTTGTTTTTTCTCCTTGCAGATTTTGTTTACTGCAGTTGGCCCCGAAAATTTTTAAACAAATTTGGGATTAAATTTCCTGGATCTCTTATCATGGTTTGTGCTGGTTGCTTTCACATCATTCAACTTGTCCTTATTCATGCGACATGTATAATGTTCCACCTCAACCACTACCACTAAGAGTAACAATTTCATCACATGCATGTGAGCTGTAAAATATTGGGATGTGCATGACTTCATTCACGGAGCCCGATCATTTCCCCTGCTCAAGTACTCAATGCTACTAAGCAGTCAGAATCTTGGCATAGGAGTTGAGCAGTGTCACAAATTGCTGGTTGTTGTGGAGGACACCTAAAGGGCCTGTTGAACGAACACTAAACCTCCAGCAACAGTGGCTTTGTAAAGGCTACCTTGACAATTGAACAAAGAAAACCAGATCGATGACTAGAAAATTAACTTGATAGAAAATGAATGTAAACAATTTCATTAGCAATTACTTTTTTGGCCCTTTTTTTGCTCACAACATTCTCATAACCCATGCTGTCCTCCAAATAATGCTCCTACAGATTGGCTTTGACTGCTCAGGTATGTGACCCGCACAATGACGAGGTAAAAATACTTTCTCAGTGTGGATCAATCTTTGTGCTTCTCCAAGAGTAAGTGGTGAAACCAAATCCCCATCGCACTGTCACTATGGGCACCCCTTGCGCTCAGCATATGCCTCCAAAAACAGAAGCTTTAGCAATAGGGCCAGTGTTTGGAGTACCCAAGTGATAAGCCTAAGGTGCAGGAAAAGCATGGGTCTGGAAGAAATCAGTCAAAACTGCTGAGAGACTGGAAGTATTCACACACAGGTTGGCGACCACTGACTTGGCTTCGGAAACATGAGGAATATGCGAAGAATCAAGCCACACAAAGAAAGAGAGAGCAAGAGAAAGAGAACGATTTGGTGGCATTATCACCAGAATGTAACGACTGATACTCTGCAATTATATGCAACAAGGCATGCCCCTTGATTGAGAATCCATCATGCGGTGACTTTATAAAAATTTGCAACCCCAAAGAAGGGATTCCTCTGTACAGTAAAGATAGGATAGAATCCTCATGGCAGCTAGCTAGCTACGTATCTTAATCGTAAACCCAAGTATCCCATTAACCCTCAAAACTATGAAGCACGGCAATGAAAGACTCACAACCATGTCCATCAAATTTAACACTCTTGGAACTAGTGTTACATCCTGTTTAGCTACGAAGCAGTCACTTCTTTGTAGAAAAACATACTCTTAGAAAAAATAAAAGGCGCGTCTCTGCAAGGTTTGGCAGCTCCAATAACCCCTGTTTGAAGACAAAATTAAATCAAGGCACCGATGTGCTTGCTACTCGGCAGAAATCCATCGGTACTACTTCAAACTCAGATGCAGGATTTCTGAATTCGTTGTAGTGTACAACAGGTGTAGCCTAAGTCCACGCTCGAAGGAGCACAAAAAAAAACACGGTCTGAACGAGGATTGGTAAAATTCCTCCCTAGTGCTAAAAGTTCCATTGTCGTGGACTGCGGCTTTAGATTGAAGGCCTGAAACGCGGGCTTCAACTGGTTGCTAGAAGTAAAGTTGCTGAGTAATCAGCAAACCCTCTGGAAGAAACACGCCTTCAAAACTTTCATACTACGATGTCCGATTTTCCTTGTAATTTCTGATTGTGGTGCACATACGCCATGTAAGAGGAGCCCTTTTGCTTTGTTTTTTTGTTTCTCCCGTGCTGAGTCCCTGGGAGAAGACATCCTAAAGATCTCTTCACAGTGCATACAAAAAAGGCAGGAGACGCTTCAACTCCACTAAAGATACCGATCGGCGTGTAGCACTCCGCAGCATGCTGCTGGGAAGAAAGTCTCGTAACCCAATGATATGTAGACCGAACTGCATCTATCTAGAGCGATCCTGCCCCATGATGTTAGTTTCTTCCACAAACTCTGCAGTAGCACCCTCCAGAAACCACAGCAAGTGTTCGAAAACGTCAGGAGTGCAAGCGATGCGCAATCCTCCTTCGCAACAGAACCCGAACTCTTCTTCAGACCTCGCCAGCAGCGCTCGAAAGACGCTATTCGAGAGATACGATGTTGGGATAACAAACCTCCTCCGCTCCTTTCCAACGTATACAGCAAGGCAACCAGCGGGTACGTCAGGTGGAGGATTTGAGAATTCCACATCGCTGTCATAGCTGTGGATATCTGCCATGCTGCCCCATGAGCGCCCTGAGTTGATACCGAGAGAAGAAGAATCAAATGTGTTTGAGGTAGCACTGGAGTGCCGGGACATGGATTGCTTGTGAATCTGTGGGGAGATGTGAAGCACCTTTTTCAGGAACTTGGCAAGCTTCTTGGATGGAGCCATAGTCGCACTAGAGAATTGCTGCTTAAGTGAACAACCTTCAGCAAATGCCGTATAACGGAATTTTTTTTGCAGGCACAATTGTTCTTTCAGTTCTACTTCTTTTAGTTCACAGCAAGAATCGGACGGTAAAATAGAGTCTACTCCAAAGAGGCGGAACCAAAAAGATGGCACCAGTGTGCCTACCCAACAACTTACGCACCAGCTCGTCTTTGATGGCAACTGTGATTGGAGCACAGACAACAGCAAACGAAAGATTCCAAGAAGTTAGACAACGCTCTGCTAGAGAAGAGAGACAAAGATCTCATGTGTTCATTCAGATCTGTTGTGGGTGACTGAAAATACATATGCTCAAGTTTCTGTCTGTAATGCATCCGGTTTCCTTGAACTGGGTCACAACCAAACAATCGTCTCGACACAGGGCGACGACACAACAACAAGATGGTATTCGGATCTCTCTCTCTCTCTCTCTCTCTCTCTCTCTCTCACACACACACACAAGGGGAAACGGAGATTGGGAAAGCAGTAAGCGAGCACATTCACTCACGACTGAGCAAGAGTTATAGCAGCTAATGGTGGCTTCTAAGTCGCCCCAAGGCCATATAAGCGTCCTCCTGAGAAAACTACCTACCAAAGCAGAATAGGGGCCACAGAGGAAAAGGAACTAGCGCACCTCGGGCCCTTCCTCTTGTACAAGTGTCACATAAAATTGGCTTTTCCAGTTTGTACTGCATGAAATTTACCGGAACTGCTCATTTTCACACAACCCACCACAGAGCGGACGACTCTTCCACCTTACCACACCTGACGCAACCGCCCTACCGGCACCACTCGTGGGAGCAGGGAGCGCGCGCTACGAGCACGATTGCAAAATGGGCTATGGCCCGATTCGATACCTCCATCGTCCCCACTCGATTCTACTCCCTTCTCCTGCCTGCACTCTTCACTTCTGCTAACCAAATTTCTTACATCTCAAAATAAGATACGTGATTCCGGATTCCTCAAAACAAATAAAATAACGCGGACCCTTGAGCTTATCTTTTGACCTCGATGCAACTCCAATCCTCGCTGAACAAAACACTTTTTTCTGTAGCCCTTTGGGTCTCTCTCCACAAAGCATGACCAAATGATAATAGGAATTTTACCCTCGGACATCACCCCCCGATGTAGCTCACCTCGATGGAAAATTCTCCGCGCTCTGCGACCCAAAAACTCAATCCTGATCAGACTTGGCTCGGATTCAAACTCTGTCGGCCGCGAATGTAGGACACAAAGGCAATGTTAGGCTGCGCTGGTAAAAAGAAAACCACGCGGATGACGGAGAACCCAAAAGCACCCGGCGACGATGGAAAAACAAAAAAGTATAAAAATTACAAAAAAAAAAATTATAAAAAATTCTCGGAGTCTCTGCAATTCACCGATGAATGAGTCCGTGCAGACAACCCACCCAGAACTTTATAATATATACCACGACAAAGGCTCTGAAACATGTACACGTGCAGTACATGTCCTATCATGTTCAAATCTCGTAGTTATGGTGTTAGATTCAACAGGATGAGCTTATTGAGAGCGGGCTGCTGCGTACTTTCAATAACCGTGCGATGGCCAGCTTCTAAAGGCTCACTTTGTTACGGTGAAGGACAACCTTCCCCTTAGGGGGTGGATGTAGGCTTATCACGTGTCATTGCTTTAATCTCACTACGGAAGAAGAAGAAGAAGCAGAAAGATGAATAAATTAATTAATAAATTAAATAAACTTGTTCGACTCTCCAAAACTCATCAAAAAAACATCATTCCTTGTGCACCCGAATGTGCCTCCCAATGGAAGAATTTTTTTATTTCTTTCATTTAACTTATTGGTAATAGAAAAATAAATGGCGGATGCTAGGGCAGGGCTTTGAAGATGTGATAAGATTCATTTATTATCATTCACTTCATGTGAGTGACAACATAGTCTTCTCCTCCTCCTCCTCCACTTCAATGGAAGTAAACAAAAACTATAAAATGCAGTGGTTGTGGGAGTTTCATCCGTTCATCCGCTCATCGTTCATCCGCTCATCCATTTCTTGCACTACTTTGATTCAATCATGGGTGAAGGTTTTATGGACAATGGAAGCGAGAATGAGGATGGAAAGTCAGGATTGGCATACTGAGTAGGTGTGAGGGGAGCCTCAAAGCCCCTTGAGGATTAGTGCCATGGGCTCAGGCCATGATGATTGGCAAAGAGAGGGGAGTCAGTAAGGAAAGCATGAGTGAGTTCTGAGGAGTCCCCTTTGGAAAGAGGGAGGACACCCTTGTGTCCTGGCCAGTACAACCCCACCCATACTATTTGTACTTACCACTCCATTCAACTCATTCAGTCAGCCAGTCAGTCACTCAGTCAGCCTCTCTGAGGAATAGAGCCCCACTTCCCCAATTCACCCCACCTCCAGTTTTGTATGATTCAGGGCCTCACAGACCCTCTTCACACTTGCAACGCTGTGCACCCTGTGGCTGGTGGAAACTCTTCATCAAGTCTTGCCTGGATGGCCAACACAGCATTATATTGTGTGTGTGTGTGTGTGTGAATGTGTGAGAAATCTGACCACCCTCTCCACAAAATGACTTCAATGGGTGTGTATAGCAGTAGTACAGCAGTTATGTAGCATAAAGGAGGTTGAAGGCCTGCTTGGAGAGAATGTAATGTGGGTGGACATCCACAATTTGGCCACTGTTGAAAACTAGGATGGCAAGAGCTGAGAAGGAGAGGTGATAGCAAAAATGTTTCATACTTTTGTGTACTGATGTCATTCCATTCTACAGACAAACGTGTGCATGTGCGTTTGTGTGTTCTTATAGAGGCATGTGGGCTATATTTCTTTCATATTTGTGTAGTGATGTCACTCCATTTTACCGACTTGTGCGTGCATGTATGTTTTTTTGGAGGCGTGAAGGCTATTGTTGTGGCTCAAGTAATAAGACTAGAAGAAAAACAAAAAAAAATAACAAAACAAACTTTTATAGCTTTTTGTGCACATTGGTATGTGAATGTACTATCCAAGGTCATAAAAACTGTTTTTTTCAATACAGAAAAGAGGGTGATCTCTTTTGACCGCCTTGAGCAATGGAACTGTAGCTTTGGGGATCTCTGTCATAAAAAGCTCCAGGTATGCCTAGTTGGACTCCCTGGCACAACCAGGATTTTTTAGCTGGGACCATCATTCATCTACTCACTACTTCTTCAAACAAAGGTTTGAAAAACAAAACAAAACAAAACAAACAGAAAAAAAAAACAAAACAAAACAAACAAACAAACAAACAAACAAACAAAAAAAACAAAACAAAACAAAACAAAAACAAAAACAGAAGAATTTTAAATGAACCCAAATTCCTTGTGATGTGGCAATGCTGGGCAACACACTTGCTTATAGAAAAGTACCCAAGCAAAGGAAGGGGCCACCAAAAGCCAGAACCCTAATTTGAGTTATGGTGTGGAGAACTCTAGCACGACTGGTTAGGAACCCCTCTGGTCCTACTTGGCGCCTTCTGTCTAAATTTAGGGCACACTCCAAATTGCAAAGGAAAACTGAAGAGCCAATGGATATTTCCATACAATTTTGGGTTGGGGAGGTATTAGTAGAGATATGCCCCACTTGGAGGATGAGGCAATGTTATGGAGGAGACAGCATATTACAAAAAATAAACTCCCCTGTTGGCACCAGACAGTAAGATTCAATAGCACCTCAATAGTAGCAAAAGCAAGCGCTAAGAAGGGAAGAATACAGGGAAGAAGCAAAAAGAAAGAGGAAGTAAAAGGAGATGTTAAATGTGATCCCTTACCTCCACTTGCTTAGCTGGCATATTCATGACAGGTGGCAATTTTATTGCTTGGGCAGGAAAGTGTCTATGAATAAATATAACCCACAAATAATAATAGTAATAATAATATATGCAACATAGTGCTCATGCAGCATATCACCAAAGTTGTTTAAATTGGCAAGTTTTTTCCCACGAAAATATCATGGTCGTCTGCAGGGTAGTTATTATTAACAATAAAAATGGTGGAGGAATGGAGTTTCTCGAGAAGATATTCTGATATTTAACGTGAGTAGTCATCAGAAAACATGTAACAATGAAGTCAAAAAAATTATGAATATGTGTGTATACTGTAAGTTACATGACAATTCTCGAAAAAAGAACATGAAAAAAATTTAATTCAAAAAATAAAAATAAAAATGAAGAGTACTTTCATGTCAATGGAATGGTTGGCGTTATAATTGACCCCCTTTTAGGATCATTCAATGGAAAATTCAGCTGCCAGAGAAATATATGTATAATTTTTTTTTATCTGTTTTCAAGATCTGTGTACATCAAGTATTTATATGTCTTACAATATCCTTTGCTTTTATATATACATACATATAAATACAGACACACACACCTACACAACAAGTATTTATAAACATACTGTTTCCCTTTCAATACAGACCACAATACTACATTTGATTTTACTTTAACATGGAAGAGAATAAGTACCAGCATCTAAAACTGACTTAGCAAACTTGAAGTGATGTAAGGTAAGGGTAGGGCAACAAATCACAAACCCTAGACCATGGAAAAAGCCAACCTATCTCCTGTTGATTCCATTGTGGATTGGCATGAGAGCCCCCAAAAGAATTCCTTACCCCCTTTAAAAAATCCCCAATGCCTACATTCTCATTCACTCACAGCCAGCCTAGGCTACAAACAAGAGTGCAAATGAACAGTATCCATGCCCTTGCAAAAACAACAACAACAAACAAAAAAAAAAAAAAAAAAAAAAAACATCGCATATAAACTCCTTCTTGAGCCTGAAGTGGGGCCATCCTCTCATGATTGAGCAGACAAAGCAATCAAGCATAATTATTTTATATGTATATATAATATTATTTAGTCTATTTAAAAACAATTGACACAAAACAGAAAGCAAGTATGATTCTATAGTGGAATGAGCTGGGTGGGTGCCTTGCATGTTAAGGCCTTGAGCTCTGAGCCTTAACATTAGACCCCATCTCAGGAAGGAAATATTCTCTTCTGATACCTGAAAGTTCCAGTGTGGGAATTGATACCCGGGCTTCATGGGTTGGCTCCATTCCCAACCCCATCCCTGGTTAAACTGGATCTGTAGTTATCCCCAACTGCATCTCACCCATGGGGAAGAATCCAGAAGAATCTGGTAGGAAGCTGAGTAGGAAAGAAGGCAAGAAAAAATTGGGTAGAGCCTTTTATGGGCTCACAGGCATATGTACACTGTGGGATGCATGAGGAGGAGGAGAATGTGGGTTGCTGTTTTTCAGCATATTTACTCTAAAATACAACCCACATTAACTCCCCCCTCTCATACATCTGTATTTATGAATCACTCAGGGCCAGATTGGGTTGTGTTTTTCTGTTTGCCCTTTAGCGGCGCTGAATAGGCTGGATGAAGAACATGGATGAAGCAATTGGGTGAGTGAATGGATGAATGAATTATGGGGTGTATGTTCATCCTTATCATTCCTTTTTCTTGAGAGTAATCATTAAAAAAAGTCCTCAAAATGGGCTTTTGTGGGATATTTTTTTAATTTTTAATTTTTTTAATTTTTTTTTAATTGAATGGAAACCATGTTTGTCCAATTAGTTAAATCATACAGTAGAAGTCAAACATGGTTTCTATTCTCCTTTTTTTTCTTTAAATTCAAATTCTATTCCTTACAAGAATTTATGGTGAATTCATGTGTTAAAAAATAGTTTTCATATTTCACCAATGCTTGAAATTTATATATATATATATATATATATATATACATGAAATGAGTTTCCCATTCCTCTGAATCTGAAGACATTTTGGAGACGCTTTTTTAATTTAGACGGTCTATCAAAACACTAAAATACAATTATCTAAGATTTAATTTTATCTTTTCCTGCTTTTCCTAGTATCTCATCTAATTTGTACTTTTTGAATTGTTCGATTCTTAACTTAATTATGCAGGTATATAAATATAGAGGGCGGCTGTGCACCGTCTTTCATTTCAATGAATCATTTCTTTGTTTATGGAACATAAGATAGAATCTCACTTTTGTACCATATGAGGTAGATTATGAGGCTTAAAAGTCCATACCAATTGTAGAAAATTTTAATTGAAGGATATCCTTTTCCACATAGAAATACTACCTTTATTGCCAGTATTTAAATATAAATAAATAAATGAATAAATAAAACGTATGGGAGAATAACATGGCAACAGGAAGCTAGTCTTGTACGTTTCAACTTGAATATTTATAAGTTTTCTTTACTTGCATAGCTAATGAAGGCCTTTGCATAATGGTGAAATCAAAACTCTTGTAACCTCATTTCAAAGCTGCAAAAATAAGTAAATTATGTGCAGTCTCCTA